TGGGGGCCCTCTGGGGCCCCCTGGAGGCCCTCTGGGGCCCCCTGGAGGCCCTCTGGGGCCCCCTGAGGCCCCCAGAGGGTCCTGGGGGCCCTCTGGGGCCCCCTGGAGTCCCTCTGGGGCCCCCTGGGGGCCCCGAGAGGGTCCTGAAGGCCCTCTGGGGCCCCCTGGAGGCCCTCTGGGGCCCCCTGGGGGCCCCCAGAGGGTCCTGAAGGCCCTCTGGGGCCCCCTGGAGGCCCTCTGGGGCCCCCTGGAGGCCCTCTGGGGCCCCCTGACTAAACATATTCTGTAGCAGTGGCGGAGGCAGGGGCAGAAGGATACTAGTTCCAACAAAGATGAATTTGGTTTGCTGCTGCTGCTGCTGCTGCTGCTGCTACCGCTGCTGCTGCTGCTGCTGCTGCTGCTGCTGCTGCTGCTGCTACTTGTAGTTCACCCCTAGGTGCAGCGCGCGGCGCGGCCTCGCTGGGGCCTCCAGGGCCTCCACTGTTCGGGCTCCTGCTGGAGTTGCTGCAGCTGCTGCAGCTGGTGGTGCAGGTGTTGCTGCTGCTGGATCTGCTGCTGCTGCTGCTGCTGCTGCTGCTGGCGCTGCTGCTGCTGGCGCTGCGCCGCAGAGGCGCGCCTTGCTGCTGCGCGCGTTGCTGCTGCAGTCAGCCGCCCCGGAGAAAGCCCCACCTGCCGCAGCTGCTCCTCCTGCTGCTGCTGCAGCGGCAGCGGCCCCTGTCTTTTGCATGCAGCACAAGAGCAGCAGCCCACTATGGGAATCCAGTCGAAGGGCGCCAGCAGCAGCTTCGGCTGCTGCTGCAGCGCCTCCAGAAACAGCCCCCGCAAATAGCTGAGCAGCAGCAGCACACGCCACCACTATTCCATTATTATTACTATTATTATTACTATTATTATTACTATTACTATTACTATTATTATTACTATTATTATTACTATTATTATTACTATTATTACTATTCCCAGCCTTGCAGCATCATCAGCAGCAGCAGCGTTGCTGCTGCTGCCGCAGCAGCAGCAGCAGCCTTGCTGCTGCTGCCTTGCAGCAGCAGCAGCAGCAGCAGCAGCAGCAGCAGCAGCAGCAGCAGCAGCAGGGACCTGTGGTCTGGCGCGTCGGCGAAGTGGAGGGCCCTGCAGTAGGTGAGGAAGGTGAGGAAGCAGCTGGGAAGCCCCGCGCAGAGCGCATGCAAGTCGACGCTCATTTTGGTGTTGGTGATTTTTGAGTATTTGTCTCTTTTGCTGGTGGCTTTGAGGCCTTGCCAGGGCAAAGAGCCCCGCAGGAAGTACAGCAGCACGTAACCCAGCCCCTCCAGGTCGTCCCGACGCGCCTGCTCCACTCCTGCAGCAGCAGCAGCAGCAGCAGCAGCAGCAGCAGCAGCAGCAGCAGCGGGGGGGGGAGGGCGTCGGAGAGAGGCGGCAGCCGCGGAGACGAAGACGAACACGGGAGAGAGAACCAGCAGCAGCAGCAGCAGCAGCAGCAGCAGCAGCAGCAGCAGCAGCAGCAGCAGCAGCAGACCGAGGTGGGTGGCGAGGGAGGCGTATCTGGCAGTGCCAGTGAGGTTTTTGCCTTCCTTGTAGGGAATGTGGCGGCCCTGGGCGTCTCGGAATTTTTTCGCAAGTCCGAAGTCAATTAAATAAATCCGAAATCCTTCTTTGTGTCTTCCCACCAAAAAGTTGTCCGGCTTCACGTCCCGGTGGATGCAGCTCCGCTGGTGGATGTACGCCAGCCGGTCCAGCTGCAGCAGCAGCAGCAGCAGCAGCAGCAGCGGTGCAGCAGCAGCAGCAGCAGCAGCAGCGGATGCGCGGCTGCGGCAGCAGCAGCGGCAGCAGCTGCGCACAAAGATGCTCCAGAAGCACCACCGCCACAAACGCCCCACAAATAACAGCAGCACTAACATGCCCCTCAGCAGCAGCAGCAGCAGCAGCAGCAACAACAGCAGCAGCAGCAGCACCACCACCACCATTTGAATGCCGAGCTGCAGCACGGTGGGGAGGCTGAAGAGGCGCTCACACTCAACCACCACCACCCCCACTAACACTCATCATAATCCGCATAATCAGCAGCAGCAGCAGCAGCAGCAGCAGCAGCAGCAGCAGCAGCAGCAGCAGCAGCAGCACCATTTGAATGCCTAGCTGCAGCACGGTGGGGAGGCTGAAGAGGCGCTGGGAGGCGTTGAAGAGAAACTCCAGCGAATGGCCCAAACGCTCCAACACCATCGCGTGCCACTCGCCCTCCAGCCCGTACCAGTAACACACTGGAATCCCGACTGCAGCAGCAGCAGCAGCAGCAGCAGCAGCAGCGGGTGCAGCAGCAGCAGCAGCAGCGGGTGCAGCAGCAGCAGCAGCGGGCGCAGCAGCAGCAGCGGCGGGAGTGGGGGAGGGGCAGCTGCAGGCGGCGCTGCAGCAGCGCGCGCTGCAGCAGCTCGTGCAGCAGCTCTGCAGCAGCAGCAGCAGCAGCAGCAGCAGCAGCAGCAGCAGCAGCAGCAGCAGGAAGCTGCTGCATGGGGCGCATCAAAATGCATCAAATGAAAGGAAATGAAAGGATAAAACAGAATAAATTAAAGAGAAATGGAATTAAATGGAATAAAGAGTTGCTGCGGACTTCCTCCTTGCAGAAACTTGATGATTCTTGCTTCGTAAAGCAGCTGCGGATGTTTTGTTGCAGCAGGCTCCAACTTAATGGCCACTTCTTTGCCTTTCAAATCCACTCCTTCATAAAGCGCCCCGAAGGAGCCGCTGCCGATTTTTCTGCCGACTTTGTAGACCCCGTTGATGCATGCGGGAGCAGCAGCAGCAGCAGCAGCAGCAGCAGCAGCAGCAGCAGCGCCCAGGCCCACGCGCGACAGCGACGGCACGCCGCCCGCTGCTGCTGCTGCTGCCACCGCCCCCAGGGCTGCTGCTGCTGCTGCTGCTGCGGTCGCCGGCGGCGACGCGCACGCCACTGCGCCCCCAGCAGCAGCAGCAGCAGCAGCAGCAGCGCCGCCTGCTGCTGCTGTTGTTGCTGCTGCTGCTGCTGCTGCTGCTGCTGCTGCGCCCGAACCCGACACCCCGCGCACGCCCCCTGCGGCTCCCCGAGTTCCGGGGGCAGCAGCAGGGGGCGCAGCCATAAGCAACACCTGCTGCTGCTGCAGTGCCTGCTGCTGCTGCTGCTGCAGTGCCTGCTGCTGCTGCTGCTGCTCCTGCTGCTGCTCCTCCTGCTGCTGCTCTCAGCCCGTGTCTTCCTTCCTCCAAAGCCTCACATTAGCACGCCCACCGCCGACCAGCCTCCAAGCAACAAATGCTGCTGCTGCTGCTGCTGCTGCTGCTGCTGCTGCTGCTGCTGGGCTGTGAGCTGCAGCCCGAGCGCAGAGTTCCTTTTTGCTGCTGCTGCTTCTGCTTCTTTTCCAAATCTGTTTTGCATTTATTTGGGGTTTGAGCAGCAAGCAGCGCAGAGCCTGCTGCAGGGCCCCAAACCCTAAACCCTAAACCCTAAACCCTCGAGGCTGCAGCCGCGGCATAAAGCTGCTGCGCCGGCAGCTGGCGGGCCCCGGGGAGCTGCTGCAGCGCAGCAGCGCAGCAGAGCAGCGGCGCAGCAGCGCAGCAGCGCAGCAAAGCAGCAGCGCAGCAGCGCAGCAGCGCAGCAGCAAGAATGAAAAGCACTTTAGTTGGAGCAGCAAAGGCTGGAGCTGCTGCAGGCCATGGGGGCTTGTGGGGGACAAGAAGCAGCAGCTGCTGAAGAGCTGCTGGGGCGAAGGAAGCTGCTGCTGCTGCGGCTCTGGGGGCGATGCTGCTGCTGCTGCTTCTGCTGCGGCTTTCGCCGCCGCTGCTGCTGCTGCTGCTGGCGAGCTGCAGCGGCGCGTTGCCGCGGAAGAGCCTCCGGAGTTTGGGATTTGCAGAAAGATCTGGAAAGGAAAAGAGCGGCGGGGGAGGCGGGGAGTGGCGTGAGGTGTACAGACAGCTGGGGCGGCGGCTGCGGAACCGCCGGGTGGCGGCGCGGCGGCGCCCAGCGGCGGGAAAAAGCGGAAAACGACGGAATTAATTTGCTGTCTGCATTTATTAAACTAAAACTGAACTCTACGCGAAGAATCAGACAAATTGATCCGCGGGAAGTCTGCAGATCGCAGCACTGTTAGCTGCAGTCGGTAGCCTGAGCCCAGCGGCGCAGTCGCGAGAGGCAAAACCCGAGCTGTACGTACACCCCAACGCAGCAGCCGCCGAACTCCGTCTTCTTTCTCCGCCATTTAAATTTCATTTTAATTCTCGCGAGCGAATTTAAACTCTTTTTTCCCCTTAACAGCTGTCTAACAGGCGCTGAGTGGCGCAGCTGCCGCGCGGCCTTGCCGCCGGTGCCCGCTGGACTCCGCGCCGCCCGCTAGCGCCCCGCCTTCCGCTTTTCTGTTTCTTTTCGAGAGTTAAATTCCTTTTTTAATTTCTAAATTCCAATTTAAATGCAATTAGCGCCTCCGGAGCTTCCTGGGCAGCCCCCAGCGCCCGCCCGGCCTCCTGCATGCAAGCCTTTGCCCACAAACTCCCGCTGCTCCTCCCGCTGCAGCAAAACTCTAACCACTGGACCACTGGTCACCCCCCCAGCTTGCTGCTGCTGCCCCAGCTAGCTGCAGCGGCTAGCCACGGCTGGCCGCGGGGCCCCACGCGTGTCTTGGGCCCCCGAGGGTTTAGGGTTTAGGGTTTAGGGTTTGGGGCCCCTAGGGTTTGCAACTGGGGCTTCAGCTGCTTTGCTGCAGCTCCGGGGGCCCTTTTGGAACAGAAAAAGGAAGCAGCAAAAGGCAGAAACAGATTTCATTTATTTTGTTTTCCAAAATCCAAAAACTCCGAAAATGAATAAAAGAAATAAATGACAAAAAGGCTTTCCCGCCTCAGGCGCTCAGGTGTACGTACACCCCAGCGCCCGCAAGGCCGCAGCCCTACACAGTTTGCTGCTGCAGCTTTTTTTCACTTTTAAAGTAACTTCTAAAATAAACAAAATGGCAAAAGACAAAACAGAAAAGTTTAATTCAGTTTGCTGCTGCAGCTTTCTCACTTTTAAAGTAACTTTTAAAATAAATAAAATGACAAAAGACAAAACAGAAAAGTTCAATTCTTCTTCAGCTTTCGCAGAGCTGTCTGTACACCCCAGATGGGCCCCAGCATATTAATTAACCAATTAAATAATTAATTAATAATTAATCAATTAATTGATAATTAATTAACTATTAATTGATTAATTAATTGATAAGTAATTAATTAATTATTAATTAATTAATTAATTAATTAGTTAATTAATTAATTGATAGTTAATTAATTAATAATTAATCAATTAATTGATAATTAATTAATTAATAATTAATCAATTAATTGATAATTAATTAATTAATAATTAATCAATTAATTAATTGATAATTAATTAATTATTTATTAATTAATTAACTAATTAATTAATTAATAATTAATTAATTAGTTAATTAATTAACTGCAGCAAGAGGAATAAATAATAATGATGGCAGCCATTTGAGGCAAATAAGCCAAATATTATAATATTATATAAACTGAATTAAACAATTAAATAAATAATAAACAAATAATTAAATTGAATAAATAACAAATAATTAAATTAAATAAATCAAAAACAAATAATTAAGCTAAACAAATATTAAAATTAAAAGATAACAAATAATTGAATTAAATTGATAATAAACAAACAATTGAACTAAATAATAAACAAATGAACTGACTAAATAATAACCAAATAAATAATAAATAAATGATAAATAAATAATGAAGAAATGACAAATAAATAAATAATAAATAAACAAATGATAAATAATAAAAAAATAATAAATAAACAATAAACAAATAATAAACTAATAATAAATAAATAAATAATAAACAAATAATTAAATGAGTTAAAGAAGAAATAAAGCTGTTGTGTTGCACTGCAGCACGACTCGCTCTGCGGCGCCTTTTTGTCTCAAGAAACCTGAGCTGTACAGACACTTGATGCTGCTGCTGCTGCAGTTGCTGCTGCAGTTGCTGCTGCAGTCACTGCTGCAGTTACTGCTGCAGTTGCTGCTGCTGCAGTTGCTGCTGCTGCAGCAGTGGGCGCTGCAGCAACTGCAGCAGTCGTTGAAGCAACCGCCGCTGCTGCTGCTGCTGCAATTTCTCTAACAGGAGCTGCTGCTGCAGTACTTGGTGCTGCTGCTGCTGCTGCTGCTGCAGTTGCTGCTGCTGCTGCTGTTGATGATGCTGGACTTTGAATTATAAAACTGGCCAAGACGCAACTTGGACACCAGCTGGACATACACCTCGAGGTGTACATACACCTCAAGCCACTCTCAAAATCCCAGCAGTTATTAATTTGTTTATTCCATCCCGGATCTTCGGGTCTTGGAGGTAGCTGCAGCAAAAACATATTCAAGTTGCTGCTGCTGCTGCTGCTGCTGCTGCTGCTGCTGCTATTGCTGCTGCTGCTGCTGCTGCGGCACTGTCGCTGCCCCCGCAACAGCTCTTGTTGCAGCAGCAGCAGCACCAGCTGCAGCAGCAGCACCAGCCGCTGCCGCTGGTGCTGCCACTGCTGCTGCTGCTGCTGCTGCTATTACTACTACTACTACTGCTGCTGCTGCTGCTGCTACTGTTACTACTGCTGCTGCTGCTACTACTGCTGCTGCTGCTGCTGCTACTACTGCTGCTACTGCTGCTGCTGCTGCTGCTGCTGCTGCTGCTCACTCTTTAAGAAGCGCTGGGTTCTCCTGGGCGTTCTGAAGGACAATACTCATTTGGGGGTCCCGAAGAATTTGCTGAATTTCTGGATCGGCCTAAAAGATAAATAAATAAATAAATAATAAATAAATAAATAAATAAATAATAAATAAATAAATAATAAATAATAAATAAATAAATAAATAAATAATAAATATATAATTAATTAGTAATAGTAATGGCATTAATTCAACAAATAAAAAGAATTCATTTCAGCAGCGCCTAAATGAGCTCTTTTAAGAGTGAAGGCATAAAGAGTTAATTAATTAATTAGTTAATTAATTAATTAATTAATTAATTTAGTTAATTAATTTAGTTAGTTAATTTAGAAATTAATTTATTTAAAAAGCCAACTAGCTGCCCGCTGCGCTACAACCAGCAGCAGCAGCAGCAGCAGCAGCAGCTAAAGACAGAATCTGCTGCTGCTGCTTCTGCTGCCGAGGCACCCGCTACTGCTGCTGCAGCTGCTGCTGCTGCTGCTGCTGCTGCTGCTGCTGACCATGGCGTGTCTCATTTGTTCCTCGTCGACCTCTCCGGTTTGCTGCTGCTGCTGCACTTTGCGGATGACTTGCATTTTGCCTTCGAGGCACTCTTTGCTGCTGGGGTCTATTTTAAGTCCTTTTTCAAAAGCTTCCAAAGCTTTTGGATATTCTTTCAACAAAAAGTGGAGAGTCCCTTTGCGGCTCCACGCCTTCACGAAGCTCGGGTCCAGACTCAACGCAGTCTCGCAGTCCTGCAGCAGCAGCAGCAGCAGCAGCAGCAGCAGCAGCAGCGGCAGCAGCAGCAGCGGCAGCAGCGGCAGCGCAGTAAATGTGCAGCGGCGGAAAAGCAGCGGTGACGGGGCGGCGGCAGCACAGCAGCAGCAACGCAGCAGCAGCGACAGAGGAGAAGGAACACAGCAGCAGCACGGCAGCAGCAGCAGCAGCAGCAGCAGCGCAGCAGCAGCGCAGCAGCAGCAGCAGCAGCAGCGCAGCAGCAATTGGTGGTTTTAGTTTTTTATTTCGGACTTTAAGGGCAGAAGGATATTCAAATAATTTGGTAAGTGCTGCTGCGCGGTTGCTGTACAGCTTCGCGTCCTTCGGGTTCCTCAGAATGGCCTCGTCGTACTCTGCAGCAGCAGCAGCAGCAGCAGCAGCAGCAGCAGCAAGGATAATGGGCGCAGCAGCAACAACAATGATAATGTGGGCAGCAGCAGCAACAGTGAGAGGCAGCAGCAGCAGGAAGCAGCAGTGAGGACTGTGCAAAAGAAGCAAACTTTCAAAAAAACTCCACCATACAAGTTGTGCATTATATATATATATATATACTTATATAGTTTTATATAAATGCATTTATATATTTATACATTTAAATATATATTTTCTAAATTGGACTTTAAATTGGAAATTCGATTTTGAATTAAAGGCAAACAGCAGCCCTTTGCCCGAGCGGCGAGCAGCGGCAAAACCACCCCCAGCAGCACCCCCAGCAGGAGCAGCACCAGCAGCCTCGCAGCAGCAGCAGCAGCCTCGCAGCAGCAGCAGCAGCAGCAGCAGCAGCAGGAGGACCCTTTTTGGCGTTGGGGAAGTCGTTGTTTTTGAAGAATTCGTTGCCGCGGAGTTTGTGCTGCTCGGCCTTCTCGGGGTCGACGTAAGCCTCTCTGTCGGCCTTTTCTTTGAGTCTTTTGACTTCCGCAAGAGCTGCTCGCGTCTGGCGAGTGTTGGACTCGCAAAGAGACTTTTCGTACATCTCAATTGCCTTTTGAAAATCTTTTTGGCGCGCAAAACAGGCGGCCATGCGGTTGTAGACCTGCGGTGTACGTACACCCCGCGCAGTGCGCGCGCGCGAGCGCGCGCTCACTTCTTTTATTCTGCAAATTCAACTTTTGCAAAAGTGCCCGATCTGCACCTCAAACGACTCCGTTTTGAATTTTAATTTCGATTTTCGCATTCTTTTCACTTTATTGCAACTTTATTTCCACTTTTTTTTCACTTTTTCCACTTTTTTCCACTTTTTCCCGACCCCGCCACACTCACCTTCGCCACCACCTCGTAGTCCGCCTTCACCTCGTACCTCTTCTCCAGCGCCTTCTCGCACTCCTTCAGGCAGTTCTCAAAGTCGCCCATTTCCATGTACACAGCTGCAAACCCCAAAAAAGGGTTTTGATTCACTTCAACAAAATAAACCACTTCAAAACCCTACCCAACAGAGTCCCAACAAGAAACAAAAAACATGCAAGTCCCGAAAAACCCGAACTAACCATGTGCCCTGCGAAGTCCTGGGCCCCCAACACCCCCCAAACCCTAAACCCTAAACCCTAAACCCTAAAACCCTAAACCCTAAACCCTAGCCTACCGGCTTTGTTGTTGAGGTAGAGGAGCTGGTTGGGGTCGAGGGCAATGGCCTCGTCGTAAGCTTTCAAAGCTTCTTCGAACTTTCTTTGTTTGTAAAGTTCATTTCCTTCTTTCTTCTTTTCTTCAGCTTGCTGCTGCTCGGGGGTGAGTTCTTTGGGGGGCTGCTGCGCTGCTGCTGCTGCTGCTGCTGCTGCTCCCGAAGCAGCAGCAGCAGCAGCAGGCTCTTCCTCCTCCTCCAGAGTGCCCCCCAGCAGCACCGTCATGCCCTCCCGGATGCGCACGTCCTAACACCCAAACCCAAACCCCAAACCCTAAACGCTAAACCCTAAACCCTAAACCCCAAACCCTAAACCCTAAACCCTAAACCCTAAACCCTCTCGCGGCGCTGCGAAGCCCCGCCTATCCGGCCCTTGGCCAGCAGAAAAAGGCGAAAATAAAGGCGGAAAAAAGAAAAGAAGAAAAAGCAGAAAAGCAGCAGCAAACCAAGCCCAGAAGCAGCGAAAAAGAGCAAAAAAAGGAAATAAAAAGAAATAAAAGGAAATAAAAAGAAATAAAAAGACCTGGAGACAGGAAAAAGAAAATAAAAGGAAATAAAAGGAAATAAAAGAAATAAAAGAAATAAAACCCACCGGCTGGGCCATGACGAGCCGCAAACTGCTGGGGTTGGCCTGGACTTGGGCAAGAAGTTTGGCGAGGGTTTGGGAATAGTTGGGGTCTTGTTGAGAGTACTTTTGGAGTTTGGGGTGTCTGCTGAGAGCTGTAGAGACAGCCCAGAGGGCCTGCACTTCCCGCAAACCCGCGCTGCTCTGCTGCACTTCTTTCAAACCCTTTTGCAAACCCTCGTTCGAGGGTTCCAACTCCAAACCCTTCTTGTAACTCCGCTCCGCCTCCTCCACACGACCCAGGTTGAACTCCGCCAAACCCTTCCGCGAATAACCCTGCAGCAGCAGCAGCAGCAGCAGCAGCAGCAGCAGCAGCAGCAGCAGCGGCGGAGGGAGCCGGGGTCTTCAGCAGTTCCGGGTGCACACGCTAGAGAGGGAGCAGCAAACCCCAAACCCTAAACCCTAAACCCCAAACCCCAAACCCTAAACCCTAAACCCTAAACCCTAAACCCTAGATTGGGGTTACCTTGGCCCAGTCGGGCTTGAGCTTGACGCAGGTCTCGGCGTCCTTGAGGGCGCTTTCGAAGTCCTTCAAACTGGCGAAGGCCCCCGACCTGTTGGAGTAAAGAAGATGGTCTTGAGGAGAAAGTTGAATTGCATTTGAAAAGTGTTGAACAGCAGCGCGGAAGTCGCCGTTTTGAAAGGCGGCGTTTCCCTTCGCCTTCTCTTCCTGGGCCTGCGTCTGGGCCGGATCCGCGGCAGAGGCCATCGTTGGCGGCGAAAAAAAAAGGGTTTTGCAAATTAAAAGCTATTCAAAGACTATTTAAGTACAAAAATCAACAGATTCCCCGCAAAAAGAAAGAAATCCGAAAGCAGCAAACGCCCGCGCGCCGCGCAAGCCGCAACCCCTCAGGTGTACAGACAGCTCGGACCCGTGCAAAGCTCCAAAACCTACCAATTCCTCAATCACAACTTTTCTAATTTACTTTTGCATTTTGCAAGTCCCCTAACTCCGCCAAACTCCAGCAGCCCCACCAGCCTCGCCCAGGGGGCCCCGAAACCGCGCGCTGTCTGCTGCTGCATGCATGCAACTGGCCACTTACTTCCGCGCGTAAACCTCCGAAACTTCCGCTTTTTCCTTTTTTTATATTCATTTATATTTAGTTTTTCATTTTATTAATTAATTTGAAACAGCTAACATACCCGCGAGCACTCCCGCACAGATCGCCCGGAGCTGACTGCAGCCGAAACGCCGCGGCTGCAGCACCCTCAGCTGCCGTTCTTCCGCAAAAACGCCATTATTTACTTCTATACTTCTTTCAATTAATAAAATGCTTTAATTAAATCCATTTAAAGACATTTGGCTCCAAAATTCACCCAGAAGGGCCCCCTGGGGGCCCCTGCAGCACGTGCTGCAGCAGCACAGCAACGACACCTGCAAATACCCTACACCCAACAGGGGCCCCCTCTGCCTCTCTAACCCTTGGGGCTGCATGCGCTGCATGCGCTGCATGCGCTGCATGCGCTGCATGCGCTGCAGCAGGGCAAAGAAAGGGCCCCCAAGTTGCTTCTAGAGGCCCTTGGGGGCCCCCAAGGGGCGCCCAACGGGGGCCCCACAGGGGCCCCCGGGGGCCCCCAAGGGGCTCCTCAGGGGGGCCCCCACACCTCAAATTCCCCACTTGCAGCACAGCCCTGGGGGCCCCCAAAATGCCCCTGGGGGCCCCCCTGGCTGCGGGCTGTCTTCTATTCTGTCTTAGTCAAAAATGCAGAAGTAGAGCTTTTAAAGAAACCCTTTTTAGTTAAATGGAATTTTGGAGGGTTTTTGGCCAGGGGGGCCCCTCTAAACCCTTTTGGGGGGGCTTTCTAGACGGGGGCCCCTCTAAACCCTATAAACCCTAAACCCTAATTCTGGTCGCAGCGGAGGCCAGCAAACCCCAAACCCTAAACCCTAAAAGAACGTAAAAGAAAGCGAGCTGGTTGGCCTCCTTGTAGATATTCTTCTTGAGTTTATAATCCCTTTCTTGGCCACAGAAGGGCCGCTGAAAGAACAGCACAAACCCTAAACCCTAAACCCTAAACCCTCGGTTTCGTTGTTTTCCAAACCCTAAACCCTCAGCTGGCTGGCGCAAAAGGCTGCAGCAGCAAAAACCTAAATCTATGAGAAGTAAAATAAATATATTAAATTGTAAACTACAATATAAAATGACCTAATATAAATAAATGCATATATATGTATATATATATATATATATATATATATATATATATATTTTAATAGTTTAAAATAAAGATCTACTTAAGTAAGTTAAATAAATATACTAAATTGTAAAATACAATATAAAATAACCAATCATAAATAAATGCATATATATATATTAATATTTTAAAGTAAAGATCTACTTAAGTATAAGCATTAATAAGATGTACAGAAAAGTGAAATTTATATTTTTGAACTTAAAAATATAATTAGGACTTTATTTGAGTTTTTGTCTTTTGCACAATTTTGTGAACTTGGGAGGCATTTTTGCAAATCTTTTTGTTTTTTAATTAAATAAAATGACAATTTTGAATTTAAAATAAATGAAAGATTATTTAAACAAAAAGAAAAGCAGAAAGGGCTTTTATTTGTGCAAATGAATTAAATCCAATTTATTCACAAGTCCTTTCCGCTGATACCGCGCTGCCTCCCCCTGTTCCTAGCCCACAAAAGGTAAACCCTAAACCCTAAACCCTAAACCCTAAACCCTAAACCCTGAGGCGTTGTGGAGGCAACTAGGCAGAGAGCCTTGAGGAAAAGGGATGTTTTAAATCCAAAAGGATCTGTCAGATGTGAATTAGAGTAAAGAGATATTCTTTTAAATGTTAACTTAATTTATTTAAAATTGAAATATGAGTTTTCTCAGCGGCGATGCTGCTGCTGCTGCAGTGTCTGTCTGTACAGCCCAGCCTGCACTTCCGACCCCCCGCAGCAGCAGCAGCTGCCGCAGCGGCAGCAGCAGCAGCTGCTGCTGCTGCAGCAGCATAAGCAAAAGATCTTGATTTTGCTGCTGCTGCTGCAGGTGACGTTGCTGCTGCTGCTGCTGCTGCTGCTGCTGGCCACAGCTGCTGCCTCAGTGGACCAGAGCCCGGCGTGGCTCTAGTGAGTGCAGACTTTAATTTGCATGCATTTATTAGTTTGGATTTGCATGCAGCAGAGTGGAAATTGGGAAATCGGACTTGTGTTGTTTCTGTTGGTTTGTGTCGCTGGCGGTCCGCACGGCAGGGGAGGGATCTGCAGACAGGAAGTGGTTGTTTGAAATGCATTTGAAAGTTGAAGTGCAAATTGAAATTAAAACTGCATTTGAAAGTTAAAATGCAAATTAAAATTCCAGTTGCGTTTGAAAAGGCGGAAGTTCGCGCGAATCCGGCGAAAGAGCTGTCGATACACCGCAGCAGCATGCAGAAACCGATGGGCCAGTGTGTGCAGCCGAGGCGGGGGCGGGGAAGGCCGCGAGAAGTTCGTTTGAGTTTGTTTGCAGTTCAATTAATTGTTTTAAATGAAATTAAATAAATAAAATTGAATTAATTGCGCTGCGGCGCCGGCGGCGGGCCAAACGCGGAAAGTTGAATGGGTGCGGCTCGGCGCTGTCACCGCCTGCCTGTGTCGAGTGCGCAGCGACGCGCGATTCAGCTCTCCCTTTGCCATTACGGATTTATTCTTCAAATTAAATTAAATGTGAAAGCGCGGAAATTGCGTTTGAGTTTTTAAAGAGGCGCGGAGGTGTACGTACACCCCGCGCCGGCGCAACTCGATCTAGCCTCGGACGCCGCGGCGGTCAGAGTCGCGGCGGCGCGAGCGGCGGGAGTTCGGACTTTGGGGTTTTTTCTTCACTTTTTGCATTTTTGGGTTTATTTTTGAGTTTAAGTTTGTTTTTTATCTTCAAAAAGGTCCATTTCGCAGCTCGGGGCCCGCCCGCCGCGCCCGGCGCCTCGCGATCGGCGCCGCGAACGCCGCCGCGCCTCCGAGTCCGCCGGCCGATCCGCCCCTTTCCAGCGCCTCCCAGCCCCCAAATTTAACTTTAAATATTCAAAATAAACAAATTAATAAAATAAATATGGAGCAGCAGTTCAGTTGTGGGGCGCTCGAGCTCGCTTTCCGCCTTTTGCAAGTCCGCGGCGCCGGCCCGCCTCCCCGCTGCTGCTGCTGCTGCGCAGCTGCTGCAGCGCCTTCGCCTCTCCTCTTCCACTTCTCTTTTCTTTTTTAATTCTTTTCTTTTTGCTGCTGCTGCAGCGCCTTCTCCTTTTCTCTCCAACTTCTCTTTTCTTTTTAATTCTTTTTCTTTTTGCTGCTGCAGCAAACGCCCCCAGGCGCTGCCGCCCCGCCTCCATGTGTACAGACAGCCCGCCAAGCAGCAACAGCAACAGCGGCCCTCTCCCACCTTTGCTGCTGCCGCTGCTGCTCCAGCTGCCCTAGCTGCTGCTGCTACTGCTGCTGCTGCTGCTGCTGCTGCTGCTGCTGCTGCTGCTGCTGCTGCTGCTTCCAAGGCCTCCGGCTCCTGCAATTCTTCTCCTGGCCTCTCACCCGCCCCGGCTCAACGTACAGCAGGCAGCCACCATGGAGCCGCCAGAAAAGGCAGCAGCAGTGCAGCAGCAGCAGCAGCAGCAGCAGCCTGAAGCTCCCGCTGCTGCAGCAGCAGCAGTAGCTGCTGCTGCTGCTGCAGCGCCTGCTGGCGCTCCCGAGGTCCCTGGCGGCCTGCAGTGCCGCAAAAGACAGCGCGAGTGAGCAACGCCGCAGCTGTTTTAGGTGTGCTGCAGCAGCAGCAACAGCAGAAGCAGCAGCAGCAGCGCAGTTGCTGCTGCAGTTGCTGCAGCAAACTGCACTTCTTGTTCTATTTTCGGTGCTGCATGTTCTGCTGCAGGCCGCAGCAAACTCCTTTCCCCCCGGAGCTCCCAAGCGGCGCGTCCGTGCAGCAGCGGACTGCTGGAGATTCACCCGCTGCTGCTGCTGCTGCTGCTGCTGCTGCTGCTGCTGCTGCTGCTGCAGGGCGCGGGGACTTGCTGCTGCAGGCAGCTGCGCTGCCGCTGCAGAAGCCAGAAAGCCTTTGGGAGTTATTTGGGGCTGAATTGGAAAAGGAGAAAATTAAAAATAAAAATAATTCCAATGAGACTTGTGAGCAGCAACTGTATATAAATATAAATATAAATATAAATATAAATATAAATATAAATATAAATATAAATATAAATATAAATATAAATACTAAATATAAACACAAACGTAAATATAAAGGACACTCGGGGGCCTTTGCATGCAGCCTTAAAGACAAATTGAATCGAAAGAAATAAAACCATTAAAACTCAAAAAGATTTATTTAAATAAATGAAATACTCAAAAAGAATTATTTTAATAAATGAAATACTCAAAAAGAATTATTTAAATAAATAAAATTTAAAAATGAAAGAAAAATTCAAAAAGAATTGTTTGAATAGCTGGGGTGTACGTACACCTGGCGCAGCGAGCGCAGGCGAAGCGGATTTGAACAGCGGCAGATATTTCATTTAAAATTAATTTCTTTTTTATTTTTATTTTTAATTTTAATTTTAATTTATAAATTATATTTTAAATAAAATGAATTGAAAAACTGCAACGCCAAAACGCACACACGCAGCAGCAGCTGCTAAACAAAACAAACGGAATAAAACAAACATCAAATAAATGAAGGATAATTCAAAATAAAAAACAAAAATAAATAAATAAATAAACAAATAAATAAATAAATAAATAAATAAATAAATAAATAAATAAATAAAATAACATCAAAAAGTGCCGCGGGCGGCGGCGCTGCACACAAAGGAAAATGTCTTCGAGAAGAAGACTGTCTTAAAGAAGAAATAGGAAAAACTTTTTTTTTAATTTAATTAAATGAAAGAATTTAAAATGAAATAATTTTAATTGGTTAGAAAAAGAAACACTTTTGTTTTATTTTAAATGAAATGGTTTCTTTCAATTTAGATATGAAATACTTTTATTTTATTTTCAAATGAAATACATTTTATCTTTTGTTTTTTATTTTTTATTTTTTATTTGTCTTCTTTGCTGCTTCCGTGCGAACAGGGCCGCTGCCTGTTGCCGCCCTTAACAGCGCTGCAGCTGCTGCAGCACAGCAGCGTCAGCAGCAGCAGCAGCAGCAGCAGCATCAGCAGCAGCAGCAGCAGCATCAGCAGCAGCAGCAGCAGCAGCAGCGGCAAGGGGCGCCACCGCCTCCGCCACAGCAGCAACAGCAGCAAGGACAGCAGCCGCAGCAGAAACAGACTCCGCAGCAGCAGCAGCAGCAGCGGGTGGCGAGCTGTGAGAGCAGCAGCTGCAGCAAGGGCCAGTGGACCACTGGTCACGGGGGCGAAGCTGCTGCAGCAAAAAGCTCCCCAGCCCCCGAGGGGTTACAATCGGTTTCCGCGCAGCAGCTTTCGCAGCCACCTGCTGCTGCTGCTGCTGCTGCTGCAGCAACAGAAGCTGCAACAGCAGAAGCAGATGGCACGGCTTTGCAGAAGGAAGATCAGCTGGACAGCAGCGGGGCTTCTGGAAGCACGGAAGACAGCAGTGGCTGCAAAATAAAGGGGGAGCCGCAGCAGCAGCAGCAGCAGCAGGCGCAGCAGCAGGCGCAGCAGCAGCAGCAGCAGGCGCAGCAGCAGCAGCAGCAGGCGCAGCAGCAGGCGCAGCAGCAGGCGCAGCAGCAGGCGCAGCAGCAGGCGCAGCAGCAGCAGGAGGCGTCTGGGTCCGTGCGAGTTGGGGGCCGGGTTGAGCGCGAGTCGCAGCGCGGGCCGAGAAGACACAAAACGGACCCAGCAGCAGCAGCAGCAGCAGCAGCAGCAGCAGCAGCAGCAGCAGGTGCAGCAGCAGGCGCAGCAGCAGGAGGAGCAGCCGGAGCAGCAGCAGGAGGAGCAGGAGGCGGAGGAGGGGCGGGGGAGTGGGAGAGTCTGTTTCGGCTGGGGCCGGAGGATCCGGGGAAGGAAGGAGCAGCAGCAGCAGCAGCAGCAGCAGCAGCAGCAGCAGCAGCGCCGCAAGTGGGGGAAGAGCTGCAGCTGCTGAAGAACGTGGTGCTGCTGTGCCTGGCGGACCTGCGGGACTGCTGCATCCCTGCGGTGTACGTACAGCGGGGGGCGCAGCAGCAGCAGCGGCGGCGGCTGCAGCAGCACCTGCTGCACGTGCAGCAGCTGCTGCTGCTGCAGCAGCTAAAACCTTACCTGCATCTCTTCGAAGTCTCACTTGCTGCTGATCTGCTGCCGCACCACTTAAGTGCTGCTTGCCAGCGGCTGCTGTTCAGCGCGTTGGACATGTTGGCGCGGGCTGGGGAGGCGGGTTACTTCCCGCG